CGTACTATGACCTGAGACTGCAGGGATGATGATTCAGTAAATAAATGGAAGACAATATTGTCTGTATTACCTTCCTTTTATGGGTGAGATTTCCTGATCCATCTTCCACAAAGAAAGCATTTCTTCAAACTTGTAGAATATTGGGAGGCCATATGTCCTTTTGTGTATTTGTCATCTCCCCATTATGGGTGGGGGTATCTCAATATTAATGGTAATGACAAATATATGTCATTTGTTCATTCATTCATTCATTCATTCATTCATTCATTTTTCTTAAAGATGGTAAGTCTCCTTAGATTGTGAGCTCCTTAAGGGAAAGGACAACATTGCGTGTGTGTGTGTTTCTTTGTACCCCCAGGGCTTGGCACACTAGCTGGGATACAGTAAGCGTTTAATAAATGCGTGTTGAGTGATTAACTGACCACCCACTGGACTGAGGGCCTGTGCAATCAGTATCTTTGACAGGCCCTGTAATGGAAAAGGAGTGAGCCCCAGCCTTGAGAAGGAGAAGGCCATGACTGGTGTATTGCATTTGATCAAATGTGTCCAACTGTTAGTCACCCAAGACTGCTTCTTACCCCCAAAGCCCATCTGTTGAATACCAGTAATCTCCCAGTGTCACATATTGCATGAAAATCTCCACGGCAGCTTGCTGAAAGGGAAACACCAAGACCTCCAATAGACCCAGGCAGGTCATAGCATCTGCCCAATGGCGACTTGGACACTTCAAGTGGCACAACAGAAGTCAGAAAGACTGTGTGTGCTTGGAAGAGAAAATGGGCCATGGAAATATCAAGAATGGAAAAAGAAAAGAGATGGTCAGCTGATGTGAATTAGGGGAAATCTCAATACTCATCAAAGAAGAGCAAGGCCTCGAGTCGGCTGGGTGACTCGTCTACGGACAAGTTTTGAAAATACAAGGATAAGGACTATAGGATGGGATAGGGCTTTGAGAGGGACAAAGAAAGCACCAGTGGCAATGAACTCACACTTTCATGCACATAGTAAGGTAAAGGAAAGGCCTCGACGAAACTCTACATTACAGAAAAGAAACAATTTCTATTTACTCACAGCAGTTTCTACCTGAAGATGGAAAAAGTCTAGAAATACAATTCCCACCAGGGGGTGGTGGTGGAGAATCTTATTCCACTGATACATGAAATAAATACCTTGAACTGAAACATCCACAGCCTTACCTTACCCCTGCTCATTCTCATGATTCCCAACTTAGCTGTGGCATTAATTTCACTTCTCCATTAAATGTCATAGGATGTCCAGAGACGATGTTCCAAATGGAGATGCTTAATAGAAGTCAGAGGCCACAAGTGTGAAGTGTTTGTCTTTATTATCATCATGGCTGACTAATCCCAGAATGAGGGCAAACCACAAATGCTCACCCCAGGCCATAAATCCTCCTTTGTGTTCTCACATGTTCCTTATGATTTAGAGATTAACAAGACACTTCCTGATTCATGAGACTTGGCCAAAAGCTGTGCAAGAGGGACAGACTTAAGAGGAAAGAAACACGATGAGATTCTGCCAAAGTGAAAGAGCCCTTTACATTTCTGAATTTTGCTCTTGTCTTTCTAATGAATTTATTTTTGGTCTTGCAACATTTTCCTGCTCTCACAAATTCATCGGTTGGGTTGTCAAATCAGTTCCTTAACTGAAAATAAGGTGAAAATTAACCTTATCTCTTCGATCTTTTCCATTAAAAGTTCACCAAGAGCTCTGCCCTTCTGATTTGCTACTGGTATATTCTACAGGGTCATATCCTTTCCAGCAGGCTTCTCCCCCACTCCCAAAGTCCAAATGTCTAAAATGGGTGCACATGGAACACTCTGTCATATTTCATTGGCAACACACATGTACCATAGCTCCAGGCAACAGATGGGTGAGCAATTGTTTAGATGACAAATGTGCAATACTAAGGTAGAAGAGAAATATTTCTAGAAATGCCTTTAAAAAAAAGAAAGAAAAAGAAAACATGCCTTAACAAGCCAGAAGGAAAGGCATGAGGCTGGGAGGTCACATTGGTGTTTCCCTGACCTCAGTAGTGGCTGCCAACATTTCCCTAACACTCTTCACAACTCAATAATGGAGGAATGATGGGGCCATTGACACAGAAACTGACATAGTCAAGATCGCTACACTGTATTCCCAAGAAAGAACACTGCTTTCCCTTGTAGGTTCAGGTTAATAGGATTTTGACTAACTAAGAAAGCCAGAGCCAGTCAGGAAGTTCTGCTGTCCAAGTTTCCATTATATTCTTGCTTCCTTTCTTTACTGTCAGCCCACAGGCACCTGAAGTAAATGCCTTCTCCTTGCACCTCATCCTTTGAGAATTACAAAAAATTCAACTAGAAACTTTGAATGTCAACCACAAATCATAAGCAGCATCCTTCTTGGCTAGAAGATATTTCTAGTGTTAATAATTTTATACCAGTTATCTTTAAGGGATTGATTTGGATTAGTTCAGCTTCTCTCCCTCCTCCTCTGACACACATACATACATACACACAAATACCACGACAACACATTAATAACATAGGAAAGAAAGGAAAAAAGCCAGAGCTTGGTGTTTTAAAGAAACAGAGTTCTCAGTACTTTGTCTTAGGTTGGAATGTACAAATGACTTTTATCTGTTAAAGGGGAGGCCCACTACCAGATGAGTCCTCATATCCACTGGGCACGTACTGGGACTTCAAACAATTAAGAATTCTCATAAAAATATTTTCATCTGCATAGCACACAATGCACCACATTTTTTTTAAAAATTTTGTCCATGTCTCCCAGGCTTCAAAATTTTACCCGATATAAACAACATGAACTGATTAAAGCCAAATATATTTCTTAAACATTCCAGTCCATAGAATATCTGGGATCATCTATCTCTTCCCTTGCTAATATGTTTATAAGTAAATAAGGACAGTATTCTTTTTTTTTAAGACAGAATATAATCCTACCCTTAAGGCTATATTATTTTTATACATCATGATATAGACAAAATTTTGTGCAACTCAATCAGAAAGACCCATGGTGGTGAAGTTGTCATTCATAATATGAAATAATTGCTGTCAAAGACAAAGAAGGAAAATAAAATCAGACTAAAATGAACAAACACCTGGAATAAGCTAATTTAAAATCCTTTATATTTCTTGTGAAATATTTCTTGTGAAAGGATACACACATGCATACACACACACACACACACACACACACAAACTCTAAATATTTCTGTGTCATGAAAAGTGTGCACATTTATCATTAGAAAAGTCTAAGAAAGTCTATATTAAAAACAGATTTACTTTTATAATCTTTGGCAAAGATATATGAGGTTAGGTGATAAATACACTGTAAAGATTGTGAGAAAGGAGTCCTGTGCTGGTACCCAAGAGTCATGCTGTGGGGCTGGGGGCCAGGAAACCTGGTTTTCAGAAGGCCTGCATATGAGTGTGGGAACATTTAATTCCAGTGGGACCTGCTGAAGAGGGCCAGCATCCACTTGCTCTCTTTCCAATTAGCATAAATAGATGCATGTAGTCTTTGTTTTTGGACGATCATGACTCCGGGTGGGGGGGAAGTGTCAGCTTTGTCACTTACAAAAGAGAAAGCTCATTGCTCACTGAGGCAGCCTCTTTGCTTTTTGACATAAGGAGAATATTTTGCCACTGACATACTCACTGAAAAATATGCTATGAAATCTATGTCAGTATGTAACTCTTGATTACCCCCCCATCTACTAATAATCAGTGCTGAAGGCAGTCTGGCTTTCCATTAGGCTTAATCCTGAGAGTTTGGTTATTGCCACTGTATTCAAAACTCATCCTGCTGCCCCAAGGTGGTCAAAGTCCACCCGAGTTCCTATTGCCCAAACTGTGAGGTCCATGCTGTAAGGGGCAGACGATGGAGCACTGAGGTATGAGGGGTGGTGTTATGAAGACAGTGGCCGTTGATAGCTCTACATCTGGTGGGGCCTCTTGAACCCTGTATTATGATGCCAGCTAGCAAGCAAACTCAAAATTAACTCAGAGAAGTTGTAGTGACTCATCGCCAAGCAAAGTCTCTGAAGAATAGGCTGAAAGATTGACTATTCTCACAGATTTCAGAAGGTTCCCATTAGAATAGAATTCATTTGCAGAGCATACTGAGTATTCTTGAGGCAGGGCTGAGAATTCCAGCTATGACAATCAGAAAAAGTAGTAGGACTCATCTCTCAGCATGGAGGGATAAGCCTTTAAAATTTACTTTTTTAAATTTCAGATCTTAGGGATAGAATTTAGAACTTTTGTTTTTAATTTCTTAAAATATGACAAAGAGGGGGAAAAAAGCATGAAAATGGAGCTTGTTTGTAGAGAAGTAATGCTTATGAAGAGAGCCAGGGGGCTGTAGAGGGTTAGCCTTGGAGTGCAGATGACCTGGGTTCAGAAAGTCCTGCTTCTGATACCCCATAGTGAGACCCTGGGAAATTCCCAATCTCTTATCCAAACATCTCAGGGTCACAGTCAACGCTTTAAGACTGAAAGTGAAAGACCAGGGGTTGATATGTGTCAGGAACCATCCCACAAAAAGACCATCATGACAAGCTACCTCTGTGGCAGTGGATGAATACCAGACTGTATGACCCACACACCAAATCTCCATTTTGTCCATGACACAGAAAAGGCAAGGCTCTGCCTTTGACTGAAACATTTTAAGTCCAAGGTCTTCTTTTCCAATTAAAAACCAAATTGTCTTTAGCCAATGGGTTTTGCTGGAGCAAGCACTATGGGGTTAAGTCCTTTGGTTCTTATATAGGAAAATAAAATACATACATATTCATGTGTATATATATATATATATATATATATATATATATACATATACACACACACACATATGCATATGTGTGTGTGTGTATATACATGTATTTTTTAATCTTATATATTTTGCGCATTTTTATTTTTTTCTTTCACTGAAAGTGACTTCCTTGGCATATGAAGAAGAAATGCTTCAACCACTGGATAAAAATGAGTTTTTAATGAAAGCTAAGACTACCCTCATAGAAAGTTAATGCTCTCGCTTGCTCTTTCTTTTCTTATTGAAATTGATCAACCCACATTTGACAACCATTTGGAGTCCTGGTTTGCAATTATCAGAGCAAATTTAGGATGCCAGAAAATGCCTTGTGGCCTTGAGAGGAGGCCGATGTGGTTCATTGTAGATGGTTGTGGAGGAGGGGGAATGGTGGCATTTCTCTAGATGAAAGGTTCAGTGTGGGAAGAGTTAAATTCCCCTAGGCTGTCTTGGAAAGGGTATTGTGGATAAACAGGACTGTCCTAATTGGGGGTAAAAAAAGAATGCTAAGGTGTAACACAAACCTAGCTCAAACTATCTGAAAGCCCTTTGGGTCTCCTGTCTCCATTTTGCAGTGAGATGCTCGATTTCTTTTTGGGAAATCAGGGAAGCTATGTCAATTCCCTTGAGACATCTATCAACCACTGAAAATCTGTGAGAAAACCCAGGTAGTGCTGGACCAGCTGGACTGGCTCTCTGGCCATTTTAAACGGCCTAGTCAATGACCACTACAGCTTTAGCCTGATGGATGCCAGAGGTCATACCCAAACCAGGCTTTGGCTATGTAATATATTAGTTACATTCTTTGTACTCTAGTGAAAAATCATTTGTGATTTCTTTCAAGGCACATGACTGGTTTTAGAGTTCTAGTAAAACACAAACACATCATTTCCTATATACATAAACAGAGTGTCTAGCCTTGCTGAGAACCAGCTACGAGAAGCCAGCACCCTTTCTCAAGGGGCTGGTGCATTCATACTCGATATCCTAGAAGCTGGCATCCCCACTGAATAAATCCTCAGCAACAGTAAAATACTAGGCTATAAAAAGCTGTTCAACCAGAAGGCGAGTCAGGCAAATGCAAGAATGAAAAGTTACAGGAATGAAGAAGTGAAAGGGATGGATGAGAAGCATTCATGTGCTTGAGTGAAGTCCTTGCACAGAAAGGTCAGCCAGGACCCAACCTCGTGACCTGGGTTGTGTTGTGCTTCTGGTGCGATCTACCAACAAGCAAGCCAATTCAGTGTGCTTTCCAGGAGAGGGGGATAGGAAAAAGAAGGTCAAAAACAGGCCCACCGGCAAAGGTGGCTGCTCCTTTCATTTCCTGCTCTTTCTACCCCTACAATGGGGCCATGCTCAACTGCAAAGTGAACCCTCCGAGACATGCCCCCCCAAGCCCTGCCCTCTTCCCACCCTTCCTTCCCTACACCCTCCCCCAATCAGATACAATGGGCATCAGCAATTCTCAGAGGTCAGTGCTGGCCTTGGCAGTCAGGACGCGGATGCGGGCTGAGTTGCAGGTCTTGCAGAGGATATGTCCATCCAATGGGTAGCAGCCCTGATTGTCTCCTTCAGACAGCAGGCCACCACAATCCTAAGAGAAAAGAACACAGGAAAGAGCAAGGAATAAGAGAATAAAGGGGAGGTAAAGGAAGAAAATAAGCACTTATTAAGCACCTACGATGTGCAAAGCACTTTGGTAGATATATTATTTTATTCTTGCAACAACCCTGAGAGGTAGATGCTGTCATTATCTTCATTTTACAGTTGAGGAAATTGAGGCAGGCAGAGTTACCCAGCGTCATACAGCTAGTAAATTCATGAGGTTGGATTTGAACATAGGTCTTTCTGACTACAGGCCCAGAGCCCAATTCCCTGTGCCATTTAGCTGCTTCAAGGAAGGGTGAGGACATCTCTGGCCTGAGGTCACTGGGGCTTCCCAATGGAGAAACAGGACCAGCATAGGTCGGGCTGGATGGGACCATTTAAGCCTAAGTTTCTGAGGTCTTGTGAAGGCCCCGGCCTATAGATAGAGAGGCAGTCCATTTGGTGCCCTCTGGTCTGGTTAGAAACGAATCCATCGGCAGGAATTCTGCTACTAAGAGAGTATATTCCAAGCATTTTGCAAAAGTTTGGGCACTAAACCAATCTTAGTGATGAGAATGAAGAAGATGATGATGATACCTAAAATAAACAGCAAAAAGAATAAAAGCGGGAGGGGGCATTGATTTTTTTCAAACAAACTCAACTGTAGAGGATGAGGGAGGAGGGGAGATTCAGGCTGGGGCAAAGGAGCTCAATGGAAGCAGAGCTTCAATGGGAAGGAGGAACGCTGTCATGCAGCATCTTAGTTTTACTAATTATTCTCCTTCACAAGGTGCTAACTTCAGTTGTTTCTGCACTTCTAAATGACTGAACACACTTGTAGCATCCTCTAACCTTTGGTGCCCAGGGGAGAGGTCCCAGTCACCCTCCCCTAGTTAGAACTTTGGCAATCCTGGCTCCTGACTTTATAATGGTCAGAGAGGAAGAAGGTAATGAGAGAGTGGGGTACTGGCTGTTAGAAAGGCCTGAGTTTCATTCCCACTGAAAACACTGTAGACTCTGTGCAAGGGTTTTTTTTTTCCTTGAGTTTCAGTTTTTTCTTCTCTAAAACGGGGTGCCTTGATCACACCTATCTCACAGCATGGTAGAGAGGCTCCAATGAGCTAATGTCTGTACATCAACTTGAAAACTTTACTTAAAGGCATATAAGAATATTTACTGCTATCTTATGAAGATGGATGAGACTATGTTAGCTTGGTATTCTGTGCAAATATAAAGCAGAGAAAGGTAAGGTTGCTGATGTGTTGTTCATGGCCTCATCCATCACACCCTTCTCGCCGCCTCCTCAATGACATTCTGACTGCTCACAGATGAGGGGGATAGAGACACTAGACAGTCCAATGATTTCTGTCCAGCTCACCAGGAAGCAGCATCCATAGCAACAGGGATAACTCACTATCCCAGGCAACCATGGAGTGGGAACCCAAGGGACTGGCTTCCCACCACCAGGCCTTTGCCCTTCCTCTCAGTTTAGGGAGTTGTCTGGAGGAAGACAAGAAATGGGATTCAGTTTAAGCTTTTAGAAAGCCCATAAATAAATTAACTCACTCTCTCTATGACGATACCATTTCCCTGGCAAGGCAGAGAAGAGCAGAGGGGAACCTGCCAATAGGGAGGATTCTCTTCATTTAATCCAGTTTTGAATAAAGAGAGATGATGCTGTTGACATGTGTGGGAAGAAGGGATTTGAAGTAAATGCTGGGGGCAGCATCGCTGAGAAGAAAAATCGTAGAGAACAGATTTGCAGCTGGTGGTGACGTCAGAGGTCACCCAGTCCCAACTCCTCATTTTCCACAGGAGGAAATTGAGACTTGGCAAGGCAAAGGGATTTGTGGTCCCTTCCAGTTAAGAGGTGGGGTCCCTGGGGTCTGCACCAGGATCATCCACTCCACAGATGAGGGGCTGGGAGGATTGTGGTCAACCTCAGCTTTGTCACGTGCTGTGGTAAACACTCTTGTGCCCTCTCTGATCCCAGCACCTTCTTCTGGAAAGTGAGGATAACAACTACACCTGCCTTTCACCTCTCCTGCAGGGTTGCTGGGAAGCCTCTCTGAGATAAGGCAAGTGACATCCCTACTTGAAGGGGGCAGCCCCTCACAAGGGCTGAGTTCTTGCTTATGAGATGAGAAAACCTACAAATTGTGGAAATGGTACATTGACCTCCTGGACAGCCTGGTTTCTTTGGGGCTTTTTTCCTAGACAAGAAGCCTAAATCTATCTGTTTGCAGCACTGATCCATTGTTACTGGTTCAGCCTTTTTCCACATGACAATCCTTTAAATACCTGCAGAGTAGTCCTGTCCTTTGTCCACTCCTCCACCTCCAACCCTTCTAAGTCTTATCCTAGCTAAACTTTCTGCATCTTTTCAATTGAACTCAAGACCCATCACCATCTTGGCTGCCATCCCCTCGATGGTCTCCAACTTGTTTAATATTTCCTCAAACTGTGGTGCCTAGAACCGATTATAATATTCAGCTGAGGGGTAATGAGACCAGAATACAGTAGTACAATTCCCTTCTTATTTCTGGTTGCTCTGCTTCTCAGGGGGGCCCAACGTAGCATTAACTCTTTTGGCCGTGGTTCACCATTGCCTCATACTGGACATGATGTCCCCCCAAACCTCCAGGTATTGCCCATACAAAGGTCTGTCCTGTGGATGGATGCAGGATTCGGTTGCTTCTGCTTGGTCTCATTGGGCCGGGGGGGCATTATAGAAAGGGAGAAGTGTATTTAAATCAAGGGAAGGCTACATGCTTTAAAAAATATATAAGGAATCCCTCAAGCATGATCTTTGCTGCCCTTGTGCTGAGAAAGTTCTAAGCTGAAACACTTCCGTTTGATTAAGGCTGTCCCCAAATAGCATGGGGCACTTTGGAAGATAGTGAGCTTTGTCACTGGAAATACTCAAAGAGAACTCAGAGGAGTCCCTTAACCTCTCTATTTATAAATGTTGTTATTATTATTATTATTATCATTATTACTCTATTCTTTAACAGGTACAGGTTGCACTGGATGACCTCTGAGGTCTCATGCATCTATTTGGAGTTCCTGTGATTCTACGATTTTAGCATCATTATATAAAAAGCTGACCATGAGTCACTCAGCTGTCAAAGTCCCAGGACCTTGTGCTGTTGCCTCTGATTGGCCTTTCACATAATCAGAGCTGGCATGAATAGATATGGTATTTTTGCTTTTCAAAGAACTTTAAATATGTTGCCTCACTTGATCCTCACAAAAACTGTGTGAAGTAGATGCTATGATGCCCATTTTACAGATAAGGGCACTGAAGCTGAGAGAGAATGAAATAGTTTCTTGGGGTTTCACAGCTAATAAATTCTGAAGTAAGTTTCAAAATTTGAATTCATGCCTTCCTGACTCTACTTCTAACACTTTACCCATTCTGCCACCAAGCTGTCTCTTCCACCTAACAAATACCTCTGTGACTCAGCACTGTTAGTCCCATCCTCACTCCCTCTCCCCCTACCAAAAAAAAAAAGTTTTGCCTGTGAAAACTAGACTTGCTGAGAGCAGCTGGACCATGACAGGCAGCTAAGGACTCATAGAGCAATGGGTTTTGGCTTTGAAGTCTTTATACTTGTGGAACTTAGGCTCTCCTGGCCTGGCTGGCCTACATACCTCACATCGGTAGCACTGAACATGGAAATCCCGATCCAAGGCCACGATACGGACAGTCTCCTCCTGGCCTGGGGCAGGCATGATTGGCTCCTTGCACACAGAGCATCGAGGAGCAAATTTCCTGGAAAAAAAAATAAGAAAGTGACTTTCATTAGAAGGTTTGCACAGAGAGCTCCAGGGAAGAGGCAAAGAGAGATGTGGGAATGAAGGAAAATCGTTTGGCTCAAGTCTGAAGCCTGGCTATGATTCATAGGACCGTTAAGATTTGATCATCTTCCAGTACTACAAGAACCTGGTCTCAACAATGTGCAATTCGACCTAACAGTGATGTACTGGATGCTACGGTGTGCAAGAAGAGAAGCAAATGGCAAACCACTCTGCTGTCTTTGCCAAAATAAAACCAAACAAAAATCGAACCAGGGATGGTATGGTCAATGGGGTCACAAAGGGTTAGACACAACTGAAAATCCAAAAAACAACTATCCAAAGACCAGTCCTAGGTGAGGATGAAAAATGCTATCTGTCCTGGCCTCAAGGACCTTACAGTCACAAAGGAGTTCATGTGCTTCTGCCTTCATGTTACCCTTTCACATTCTAAGCAAAAACTTTCAGAAATAGTGTCTTGGACTAAAATACTAACCTGTTTTTTGGCAAGGCAATTGGCGTTAAGTGGCTTGCCCAGGGTCATACAGCTAGGAAGTGTCAAGTATCTTAAAATAATAATCTGAATGATGGCATATAGGGTCTTTTCCAACTGCAAAACTTGGTGATTATCCGATTCTCCAGTGAGTGTGGCAAGAAGTCCCTACCTTATTCATCAATGATCAGTGATCTTCTTTCTGTACTCAAGGAAGAGCAGTCATGAGAATGTGACTATCAATTGGCATTGATGTTGCCATATTTTAGCCAACCTACTATTTTGGATCATCAACGGGGTTAAAGCTCAAAAGGTCCTTCCTGTGTTGTCAGGATCAATGAGAATGTACGGAAAGCCTCGTCAGTCCTTAAGGCACTACACAAATAGTAGCCATTAGCCAACAATTGGTAAGTCTCGTTGATTCTATCTTCACAATGCATCTCCCTTCCATGCCCTTCTCTCCCTTCATGGCCCCCACCTAGTTCAGGAGCTCTTTCCTGCCCTCTTAGAAGAGCCTTCTGGTTAGCTTCCCTGTCTCTAGTCAATCTTCCCTATAGTTGACAAGTTGGTATTCCTGAAGCACATATCTGCTCATGTCACCCCTATGCTCAAAGTATCAGTGGTTCCATTTTGCCTCTAAAATTTACTTTTTTCAAAAACATACCTTTGACATTTAGAGATATTTAAAATCTGGATCCAATCTCCCCTTTCCTTCCTCGTATTTTAGGGGCCAAGCAAATAAACTTACTTTCTGTTTTCAAATTGCAATACTCCCTCTTTCACCTCCAAGTCTTTGCATAAGCCATTCCTCCATGCCCGAAATATTTTTCTTCTTCACTTCTACCTTTGACTTGAACGCTCCCATCAAGATTAATCTAAAGTGCCAACAGAGCTCAGGAAGGACATAAGGCCCTTCTTGCCCTCTCTGCCTCAGTGTTCTCCTCCAACCTCTCTGGGTTCCTTATTTACCTGTATATAATTTATATTGATTTGTTGGCGTATATGCTATTTCCTCCAAAGCAAAATTCAATCTCCTTGAGGTCATGGGCTGTTTCATCTTTGTCTCCGCATCTACAATGCCTGGTGCTTTAATAGATGTTTGTTGAATTGAATTACTAATTAGTTAGGATACTTCACCAGGTAGCAGAATATTTCTCTAGGATGAACAAACATCCAAACTTGCCACCGCCCTCTAGGGCTCCTCCGTGGTCTGCTCCTTGGTTCTCTATGTTCTTTGGTCTTACCCAAGAATACCCATGGGGAGTACCATTATGCCTCCTGCCACATCCCACCCAATCAGAATGGCCATTGCCCGGTATTCCTCAAATCCCAGCAACACATGCACAGAGACCTGAATAACTGGTCTAATGGGACACAGGAAACCATGAACAAGCATATCTATGCCTCATGACCAACTCCAGCCTCTCATAGATCCTAGATGTGTTGATCTTGTTTCCAAACTGATAATTTGCCTCTTGAAAATTTGAAGAGGAAAATCTATTGATATTTATTATGAAACATAAGTACAGAAAGGGGGCGGGGAGGAGTATAATATGCTTGGGTTCTTCTACTGTTCCTGAGCTGATAGGTTATTTTTCAGAAGCATGAAAGCCTTAATGAGGAAGCTTACTTTATTTAAAAAAAATTTAATAAGTACAAGGAAGAAAAGCCTTTTCTTTCTAGAAATTAATCGAGTCCTGTATGGCAGGAAAGACTTGAGTCAGGTGACAATGACTCTTGCCTTCTTATAGACATGGAAGAGAACTGAAGAGATCAAAGAAATGCCAGGTATACTTAGACTCAGCTCCCCAGCTTTCCAGTGTAACATCTCAGGATCAGCAGGATTGAAAATATGTGTAGAGTGAGCCTGAGAGCCATACTGGCCTCTCACATTTGCACGGCAGTGAATTGTTTTCAAAGCACTTTCACATACACTCTATAAACATATACACGCATGAACGTGGTTGGCAGTGCACATGAGGCATCTGTAGTGCTGAAATCTACCACAAATAGTGGCATCAGGAGTGATCAATTGATGCCTTAAAAAGAAGCCCTAAAAGCCTGTGGTACAAATTCAGGAGTTGTGAGAATAGACAGAATGCAGGATGAATGCAGGAAGTTTACATCCTTCCTTGAGGAAAAATCATTTGCCCTACACTTTTGACCCTATGTCTTCCTTTTGTCTTCTACAGACTCATATGGCAACACCCTAATTCAGACATCCATCATTTCTTACATCGACTCTTGAAATAAGTTGCTAGTTGGTCTCCTTTCATCCTATCTTTCCTGTCTCCAATTCACCTTCAATGAAAACACCATAGGAATCTTCTGACAGATTGAGTGGGACCATGGTACTTCCTTACTCAAAAATCGTCCACGTCTTCAAACTATTTCTAGGGGAAAATGCCTACTCATCAGTCTGGCATTTAAAGCCCTTGAAAATCCTGTTCCAACTTTCTGTTTCCAAATACATTTTGTATTACTCCCCCACTCATGCCCTATGTGTGCCACTCAAATGTCTATTTGCTGTGCCCAGAAGTCAGCATTCAGTCTCCTGTCTCCTTTGTTTTTCACAAGGTGATCCATGTCTGAAATCCACTTCCTGCTTTCCTTGGTCCCCAAGAATTCAAACTTAGAGGTTGTCTAGTACAACCCAAACTGGGAAAGAATCCTAAATCTAATATACTAGACAAGAGGTAAGGAATCCTTCAGTACCTTTTTAGCTCAATTCAGGGGCCATATCATTTATTAAGCACCTATTATTCCAGGCATGTGCTAAGCAGTTTAGAAATATGACCTCATTTGATCCAAGGGAAACCTTCTTTGGTCTATCCATCCTCTATTCTCCTTGTACCATACACATGCCCAAGATGCCCTCAGGGGAATGTAATTTCCTTAAAGATAGAAACATTTTTTTTTCTCTTTACGTCTCTAGCCCTCAGCACATAGTAGGAACTTAATATGACTCAATCATAATCTTCCATTAACACTCCCCCAAAAATCTATCTATCCACCTGGAAGTTTGCTTCTTGTTATTTTAACATATTAGAGGTAGCTATTCTCAGAAAAACTCTGTGGTTACAATTCATGGCTACAAATGCATTAAGCTTTGAAAAGCGGGTTTTAGAATCTGATTTATAGCTTGAATAGAGCCTGAAAGTCATCTACTACAATTCCTTTATTTTATAGAGGAAGAAACAGAGCTGCAGAATGGGCCATTGCCTTGGCCAAGCTCCTGCATGTAGGAGAAGGTAATACTAGGGCTCAAAGGGAACTTGCAGACCAACTGTTCTAATTGGCTCATTTTGTAAATGGGGGAGTCAAGGCCCACAAAAGTTACTTGGCCAGAGTGACACAAGGACCTTGGTCCCCTAAGTAATTTCAGAACTACTTCCATTGCACCAAGCTGGTCTGAGACATCTCTCCAGGTTTAAGCATTGGCCTTGAACCTTATGTAAGAACACACAATGTTGAGGAAAGAAAGGGGGTGAAATACTTGAAGTCACAAAAGGAGAGATAACATATAGCAAGAGTTTGTAAGGTTAAATCCAGCTAAGGAAAATCACTGGAAGGAGAATCCAAGACAAGAACCCAGAAAGAAAATGCATAATAAAGACATAAAGGCCCCCCAAGGGAAGGCCTACTGTCAGATCCATTCAAAGGTAAGATTAGAAAGTGTTCAGGAACTCTAAACCCTGAACTCCCCACCTCCCAGAAATGCATTATGCTTCCCTCTGAACAGAAGTAGCTAGGTGCCACAGTTGATAGAGGGCTGGGCCTGGAGTCAGGAAGGCTTGAATTGAAATCCAGCCTCAGACACTCACTAGCTGTGGGACCCTCGGCAAATCGTTTAACCTGTTTGCCTCAGTTTCCTCATCTGTAAAATAGGGATAACAACAGTATACCAATTCACAGAGTTGTTGTAAAGCTGAAATGAGAGAATAATTGTAAAGCACTTAGCAGAGTGCGTGGCATGTAGTAAGCATTAAATAAATATTTGTTTCTTTCCTGTCCCTTCCTGCAAGCACTCGCCCCTTTCAAACTTCCTTATCACTGTCGAGGACACTACATCCTCCCATTCCCCAATGGTCACAGCCCAGGCATCACCCTTGTGTCCTCAATCACTCTCACACCCCATACCTGGCAAGCAAAGGCCTATCAAGTTGACCTTAGTAACATCTCTCAGACACTCTCCCTTTTCTCCTTTGAGAATTTTGCCACCCTGGTGTAGGTCCTCCTCACTTCACACCTAGACTATGGCGACAGCCTCTGGTTTGTCTCCCTGACATAAGTCTCTCTCCATACCAAGCCAACCTACATTCAGCCACCAAAGGGATTTTCCTAAAGTGCAGGTCTAATCTTGTCTAGCCCCTACTCAATAAAATCCAGTGGTCCCCTCTCTCCTCCAAACTCAAATAGAAAATTTTCTGTTTGACATTCAACGTCCTTCACAGCCTCCATCTCCTAATATTCCTCTCCTCTTGCACCTTGTATTCTCCCATGTGCTCTTTAATTCAGGGTTACTTGTCTTCTTGCTGTTCTTCCAGCCAGACCCTCCACCTCTCGGCTCAGAGCATCTTCTCTGGATGGTTCTCAGGCCTAGAATGCTCTCCCTCCCCATCTGTACCTCTTGGCTTCCTTTGAGTATCAGCTGAAATCCTGCTTTCCACAGGAAGCCTTCCCCAACCTTTCCTAATGCTAGTGCCTTGCCTCTGCTGCTTGTCTTCTATTTATTCTGCCGATATTTTCTTTGTACATAGTTGTTTGTATGAGTTCTGTGGGCTTCTCAAAGGCAGGGACTGTGTTTGGCTTTTCTTTGTATTCCCAGCCCCTAGTATAGTGCCTGGCACATAGTAAGAGCTTAGACAACATTTGCTGACCAGCTGACTTACATAATGTAGAAAACAGGCCAAGTTTGGCCAGAGTACCCAAAGGGGTGACAAAGAGAATTCCCATCTCTCATGAGGAGGCAGGAGAAGGGGACCAGGTGGGACCCTTTTCATGTGCTTCTCAGTGGGATGTAAACAGCTTCTCTGGAAGACAGCAGAGAGATTCAGGCACATTTCCTCTCCAATATCATAGGACCCACCTGGAGGAAATAGATGCCCTGGAAGATGGTGTTTTCAGTTTCCTAAAGCATTCCACAATCATTTGCTGAAGTTCCCCTCTATGCCTGAAGCTCTTCAAAGGGCTGGGGATAGCCACAGATAAAAATGGAGTCATCTCTGCCCTCAGAATCTTACATCTTGGTGGGAAATTCCATCCCTTCTCTGGGAGCTCCTCATGAAGGAGGAGACAGACAAGATGACTCCTAAGATCCCTCCTCGCCCTCGCATTCTGGGATTCTCATTTGGCTCTTGGGGCTGGGGCAGGGGAGGGCAGCCTTTTGACCTTCTTACATTAGAGCACTTGGCGGGGTTCCCACACAGAATGCTCTGGCTTCTGGAGAACCTTGAAGGGAGTTGATCCAAACACAAGTTGCCCCTAGCCCCTTGGCCAGGCACCCAAGCAGTGGTACCATGAAACGCATCATTCAGTCATGCTTGAACATTACTCTGAGCTGCTGGTGGTCAGGATCAGGGTGTGGGGGGGCACAGTTGGGGCTTTGGATGCTTTCTTTGGTTGCTCAAGTCAGTCTTGGCACTCTCAGACTTACACACTTATGTCACTAGTCACAAGTCTCTAATTATGTTTCCCCGTCCTTAGAAATGAAAGATAAATGTGTCAGACATCAACCTACATTTGTCAGTATTGATTTCCTGTTTTAATTGAGGGGTGTAATATATGTCTATTCAAGCAACAGAAACATTTGTGCTCTGATTAGATCTATCTGTCTTTCTTGGATTAGGGCAAGTCTGAGAAAGGAATGAAGTAGAGAGAGACAAGAACAGACTCCAGAGGTGGATTTTAACTTCCTTGAAATAGATTCAAGTTTTTTTATGTGCAATTACAAGCCAAAAATATCAATAACTTGAAATATAATTTATGCTATTACTGCCCTTTAAAAGGGAGCCCTTCCTTTTTGATTTAGATTGAAAATTCTTTCTGCCTTAGAGGCTCAATAGCCTTGGACTGTGCCCTCCACTGGAATTTCTGGTCAGAAATCTTCAGGAAACATGTTGACCAGTGGCCCAGATTCCTTGTTTGCCATTGGAGCTGCTCAGTTTTGCCCAGGAGAAGGTGTGACCAACACTACAGGTCTGCACTACAGAGCACCAAAGATGTCACCTCTGGTATATTCAGCTCTTTGATAATCCTTCTTGGGAGACCAAGTCAAAACAACAGATGATGCTGGAAGGGGAAAGCTGAGTTTGACCTCCTCTGTCATTCATGTCCTGCATGATCTCAGGCATGTCTCTTAACCTCTGTGTCCTGAGTTTCCTTTTCTGCAAAAGGAAAGGGAGAAGACTTATGGGATCCTAAGGAAGTGTTCTGAGCAAAGGAACTCCAACCTCATAAGAGAAGAGAATTCAACTCATACCTGAGTAAGAATCCTGGTTACAATATGTCTGACTGGTGGCTCTTACTCAAACATTTTCTTAAAAACTCATGAGAGAGAACTCCCTACGTCCCAAAGCCATCTGCTCTACTATGGGCTAAATCTTTCACTATTTGGGGCCTAAACCTCCACTTTCTTGATTGGTGATTTGCCTGTTTGGAATATTCTTTGGGTAGGGGCCCTAGCCATGAGTCTCTTCACTCAGGACTCTATCATTTCCCCCCTCCCCCTTTTGAGCTCCTTTCTTGGTGCTATCTGCTCTCTATTGAGGGCAGGGTCTGTCTGTCTGCCTTGCTCCTTTTTGTATTCTTAAGACTTAGCACAGTGGTTCCTAAATGATCCTCTTTTCTCTTTTCCTTCTCCCATCCTCTTCCTCACCTCCTCTCTCCATCTTTCTTCAACTATCATTAACTGTTCCTACTTTTGTTCACAGTCCTGGTCATGAGTCATTCCAAATCCTACCTCTGACATCTTCTTTCTGTGTGACCTTGGATAGGTCATCTACCTCACTAGGTTTCCATAAAATGAACTGGACCAGAAGGAATAAGCTATCCCTTCCAGGGCTACATCTATGATGTGCTTATCATAAATGCTTCAAGGAAACCACAAAGTCTCTTCTTAATCATTTCATCTCCACACTAAACGCAGATCCTTCTGGTCACACTTCATGATCTCAAAGGTGTTTCCAAGCTGCAAATCTACAGTATTTCCAGTCTTTCACTAGAACCTGCAGCACACTGTTAACATTGAAACTCATGACCACAAATGTGAATGTTCTCCATTCAAATTTGGCATTTTCAGCTTTCAGATCAAAATTTAAAATGATATGAATTCATGACCTCACTCCATTTATGATTTAGAGGAGGCACCAAGGAAGTGAACTGAGGTCCCTGGGGGTTTTGTCTGTGAACCAAAAATTCTAGCAGGTCATCCCAAGTGCAAAAAGCTTTACTGAACCCCACTCAGCCACCCAGGGACAGGCTGCATGTTCCTTAGTTAGGTTCAAATGTCATTCATTCAGAAGGCTGGTCTTAAATTGATCTCTCTGTGTCTCTCTCTCTGTCTCTGTCTGTTTCTCTCTGTGTCTGTCTGTCTCTGTCTCTCTCTTTCTGCTTCTGTATCTCTCTTTTGTATCTTTTACCATGGTGGTGGTAAATAGAGTATCAGGAAGACCTGAGTTCAAGTTCTACCTTAGCGGTATGACCCTGAACATCTCCCTGAGTTTCTTTAATGCTACTGTTTACAATGCAGAGGGGCTGCCACCTGCACTACTGAAGGGAGTAAGCTCACAAGGGAAATCATGGAATTGCCTATTTCTGTGTATATATATATATATATATATATTTACATGTAGGTTTGTTCTTATTGAAATGGAGTCTAGTTCTGGCATGCAAGTGCCCTCTCTCCCACAGTAAGTTATTTTGCTTCTTTGTGTATTTGTGCATGTATGCACACAATTAATTATTTAAATTAATACTTGGACTATCTACATATTTGTATATGTACTTGCCTCTCCTGTTAAAATGTTGATCCTGCAAATAGAGATGATTTCATTCTTTGAATGTGTGTCTCCAATCCCCAGAATAGTGCCTGGTATAGTAGTTGCTTAATAAATAATTATTAATTGTTTGACACATGAATTACTGAAACAATGTATGCTTTCACTATCTTGGAATAAAGGGCACCATATGAGCTAGGTGAATAACAAAAGGAGAAATATCTTTGATATTTGAGTTTTGACCTTCTGTCCCACAACCCATGTCATAGTGGCCAACTCTCCTCTAATTGCCAACAGAAGGTCATTACAGGAAAGCCTTTCTTTACTCACGGAGTAGACGAAAGGTAGAATCCACAGAGAAGGGAGGAAAGCAGGAGGAAGAGGGGCAAACCTAAGGGGGAAGGTTGAGAGTGGAAATCTTACTTGTGGAAATCCTCAATGCAGTGGATGTGACCACTGGCATCCACAGTGAATGGGATCCCATCCAAGCTACGGCGACACATGACGCAGGTAAAGCAGTGAGGATGATATGCCTTCCCTGTGGCACGCAGGATCCGCTCCATGATGGGCTTGGCACACACATTGCATTGCTCCAGGGTGTTCTGTAGAGAAACAAAAGTTACAGCTGGCTTAGCCAGAGTCACAGATGGCTTTAGGTAGGGCTCCATTGCTGGGCTTTATCCACCATTTTCTCCATGCTTTTCTAGAAAGTATTCTGGAAAGTGGCACCGTGAAAGGGTGTTTGCTGAGTGGAGGATGTAGGGAGGAGTCATAGAGCATACCTGGTGCTGCATCCAATCCAACCTCACATCATGAAGACCCAACATGGCAGAGTGAATTAGGCACTGAATTTGGCCATCAGGAAGACCTGGGTTAAACCCAACTTCTCACTCTCACTAGTTCTGTGATCCTAGATAGGTTACTTTTCTCTGAGCCTCAATTTATTCTTCTGTGAAATGGGAATATTAATGCCAGGAGCACCATCCTCGAAGTGCCATTGTAAAGCTCAAAAGGGATGATGTGTATAAAACATTTGACACACTTAAAAGTGCTATCTAGAGGTTCAGTCTTGCTACTGTTGTTGTGACTGGACCTATGGGTCTAAAGATCTCCTTCAGCCAATGCCATTGGTTCAGTACCTTCCTGGACACTTGAAGCCTGAGGGAGCTGTCCAGGGTCACACAGCCAGCAGGTCTTCAGAGGTGGATCTCCCTGACCCTGAAGCTACTCTTTGTCCACTGGGCTCTCTGACCACGAAGAGAAGCAGGTCCCATTTCTTTGGGGCTTTACAAGGCTGAAGATAACAGGGTAAGAGGAGAGCAGATATAGGCATGGGAGCGAGAAGGAGCAGAGATGGGGCAGCTGCCTTTTATTTGCAACAACCTCACCCAAAGCACACAACTGACCACAAGTGCTGCAGGATGGACACTCACACCATGACTTTGCTGCAGTCACTGGTGTTGAAGCCACAACACAAAGCAGAGTCAGAATAAACATCAAGGTATATTAGTAACTGCTTCTAAAAGTAATCATTGCAACCCAAACATGTAAACTACCAGGTTCATTTATTCATCCCCCACCCCCTTTTTGGAAGTGATTTTAGCCAAACTGCCCCAATAGCAACTCCCATTTGTTAGCAATTCATGCCCCATCTTCTTTCTTTTGCGTAGGCTATGCCCCCTGCCAGCAATGCTCTTCCTACTGATCTTTATTGTTTAGAAGCCATAGGATCTGTCTTTCAAGGCTCAGCTAAGATGCTGCTTCCTAAATAAGGCTTCCTTTATCTCTCAATTGTTATCATTCTCTTCACCTCCAAAAGATTTTATTGTTTACATAATCACCAATAAACACAAACATTTCAATACACAAAAGCTAAAGAGGATAATAGAGGAAACCAGAGACTTCTATGGCATTGTTTTTTAAGGATGCTCACATTCTCTCTAACGATTTGATGCTGACTTTCAGAAGTGAAGTTTTTCCCTGCTCAGTCTCAATAAGCAAGCGGCAGACAATGGTGGCACATTAGAGGACTGACATCCGCCTCTTAGCTCTAATATTACCTGCTCAAACCACCTGAAGCAAGTGCCTGCTCTGAGCCTCAGTTTCTTCCTCTATAAAATAATAAGAGCTAACATTCATAGCACTTTAAGTTTTGCAAAAACACTTTACATATATTATCTCATTTTATCTTCAAAACAAACTTGTGAAGCAAATACTATTATTATTCCTATTTTAAAGATGAGAAAACTGAGGCTAACCAAGGTTAATTGATTTTTCTTTAGTGATACAACTAAGTGCCTGAGGAAGGATTTGAACTCAGGTCTTCTTGACTTTAAATTCAATGCTCTATTCACTGAAGGACCCAGTTGCCGATAAGGATGTTGGTTGGACCATACACAGTCTGAATCTTTTAGTTGCAATCTTATGAGTGAATGGTGAAAAACTAGCCAACAAGGAAACACTCAAAGAGTAAATACATCAATTCACCAGGATGATGAGGATCTTGGATATTTGGAAGGTTCTCTTTATACATACATATATGTGTGTATATGTGTTTATGCATTTACATATATATGTATGCACACATATATCCACACAATATACATAGACTTACACAGACACATCTGGAAATACAGAGGATACGTGACCATGGGAAAACTGTTCAAGTTGGGAAGGCTTTTCTGTTGTTACTAATTTCTCCTTTTTGTGCCTTGTGGACCTCTTAAACTAGATGTCCCACAGATAGCTTCAACTCAACATGTCTAAAACTAAAACATGATCTTTCCCCCAACTTTCCTGTCTTCCTAACTTTCCAATTGCTGTAGAGCACACCATCATCCTCCATTCACTAAACTCAAAACTGAGGGGTTAGACTCCACTCATTGCTCTCCCCCTCCTTCATACATAATTAGTTATCTAGTCCCTCATGCCAACAACTCTTTTTCTTCTTATCCTGGCTTCATCCAAGTTTCAACTAAAGTCTTAGTCAAAAAACAAAACAAAACAAAACAAAAAAACCCTAAAACTTTCTTGGCCTGTCTTTCATCTAGCATCTTCCCTCTGAGTTTATCTCTAGTTTGGCATCTCTCTCTTTATATACATATATATATATATATATATATATATATATATATATATATATATAATCTGCCTGCTTTCTGTCTCTCTCTATCCACCAACCATCCATCCACCCATTTATCTATCCATCTCTTGTTTCTTCATAGCTGTTGGCTTATTGTCACTCCTACTAGATTTTAAGCTCTTTCAGGGCTGGAACTCATTCCCCCCCCCCTTTTTTTGGGCCTTTCTTTGCATTTCCAGGACTTAGCACATTGTTTGGCACATAGTAGGAGCTTAACAAATTCTTGGTGACTTCTACCTCCAGAAAGGACTGACAGACCTCTCTGCTTCTTTTTTTCTAGCTGAGAAGTCAAGAGAGGTGATCAACTCCATCACAAGGTCTTAGGCACAGGAGAAAGGTTATAGGAACCTACATTAGAATTGAACAATACCTTGGAGGTGACTAGGTTCCATTCTTTCAATTTTTTAGTTAAGGAAGCTAAGGCACAGATAGCTTAAGAGACTTGCTCAGGGGAAAAGAGACAGTATCTACGAATGGATTTGAAGACCCAAAGACCAGTGCCCCACTCACTATTCCATACCATCCTTTGGACTAGCCTAAAAAGATCATTTGACCAGGCACCAGAAGGCTTGGAGTCAAAGTCAAGGACACCACTTATTTGTGGTGTGGCCTTGGGTAAGTCACTGAATCTTTGGGCCTCATTTTTTTTTTCTATTTTGTGCACAAGAGGGGATTGGAAGAGATTATCTCTAAATTTACTCCAAGTTTTAACATTCTCTAATCTAGGGAACATTCTATTCCCTTTCCAAGGCTTTGAGAGAGAACACTGTAACATCTACTGCTTAAAATCCCTCATTTCAATCAAAGTCATCTCAGGTGTTGCTTTCTACAAGAGGCCTTTCCTGACAGTCCCAGTTAGCTATGTGTCTGTATAGAATCAGGTATTTATGTGTTGTTTCCTCTGATAAGGCATAATCTCCATGAGGGCAGGGTCTGATTCAGTTTTAGTTTTGTATCCCCAGTGCCTAACCCAATGCCTGGTGCACAACAGTGACTTAAATACATGTTGATAGATTGATTTCCACAAAAAGCAGACTTGATTTCATGGCAAAATGTGATGTGAGAAACAAGGACACATGTAATTCAAATGCACAAGAGGAAAAGCACTAGCTCAGGAGCTGACACGATAGGCATGCTAGAAGCCCCTGCAAACACCTAAGCAACCATGTTCAAGTTACTGAAGCTTCCAGGGGAGGAGGTGAAGGGCATTTAGCAGATAGCCACAAATTAATTGGGACTTAGATGACTTCCCCACACCACAAGCATTTTTATCATTGTCCAATAATAATGTTGGAGATGAAAATATTAAATATTGGTCATAAATAAATAGAAAACACATCTAACTAAAAACATCTTTGCACCAATTCCCAAATTCTCCTCTTTCTTAACTAGAGATACACACAATCTGGAGGGGCCTGTGCTCGCCTTTGGGCTGGCATAATTAACAGCCCGGTTTCACAGCAAGAGCTCCTGAACCATCCCCTGAATAAAAATAAACCACACAGGTAATGTACAAACATTTGCTCTGATGTCTGCATGATAAAGAAATTAAGATTATTGGATGCCTCAGGCAGAATCTCTCTCCAAAACCGAAGATTTTTTTTTTTAACAAGTGTCAGGGAGCATATGCATGAAACACTCCCGTAGAGTCTAATGTGAAATGTATCGATCTTTGCCAGCTGGAAATGCTAAATTTTTCATTTCATGAAACTCAAATGTATGTTATGTTCAGTCCATATCTCCCTTTTAAAATGGGAAAATACTGTAGAAATAGGTTGAACTATCAGCTAAAAGCTAAGGCAGTGAGTCAAGCTTCCTGAGAGTGAGAAAAAGCTTTGTTCCTTCTGGGTGAAGGGTAGACAACAATGTGTTCATCCTTCAGAAAGGAGTATGGAACAGTGGGTAGAGTTCTGGATTTACCATTGAGAACACATGGGTTCGAATCCTGCCTCTCATGCTTTTGAAGAAGTAGTACTAATACTTACTACAATTTTTTCACTATTTCCAGACCGAACCACTTAATCAGCCAACACCTTACTGTCCTCATTTGTAAGAAGGAGATAATATGTTACATACCTACCTCCTGGGTTTGTCAGACTCAAATAAGGTAATATGTCTAAAATCCTTGGATGTTTCTCAACAAGTACCAGAGGAAAGCAGGGTCCATAATTGGTTTTGTTTGTTTGTTTGTTTTTAATAGAACTTTAGGATAAGGATCCATATTTGTAAGATAGGAGAAAGAAATTAAAGGTATAGCCATCAGTGAAGTGGATAAAAAACATTATTCCCATCCTCAAATGGCATGATTCTTTCTTTAGAAAACTCCAGAGAATCAGCAAAGAAATTACCTGTATCTATTAATAGCTTTCACAATGTTCAAAACAAAAAATAAAATAAAACAAACTCATAAAACTTTCAGTATTTCTTTGTAGCAATAACAAAAATCAGAAGGTAATGATC